TCATATGTATATGTAAGGGACCTATTCTCGAAGCACAAAACCCGTAGTCGAAGGCCCGTCAACGAAAAGACGGGCCCGTGTGAAACTGTCAAATGACCGCGTTGTTGATAGATCGCGTTGTCATACACTCTTAGTTCTAGCCTCGATCGAAACTCGAGTCTGTAGCTCATCCATAGTGGGGAAACGGCGGCGACTTCGGATTACGTGCTTTGTGAGTGGGGCCCAAGGTTGAAATCTAACTTTATGCAGTCAAAAGTGTGTGACGTGCTCTTGACTGTGCAAAGTGACTTAATAATATTCAGCCAGATTTCTTTACTAAAAAAATGACTTATCTAAACGTACATAAAGCCATTCCGGATAAGTCTAAGCTGACCTGTGGTCTCTACAGCCTCTGTTAGAAATTTGAGCTAACATAATTGTGGAATAAAACATTAAATATGTTAGAGCGGTGGTAGCTCACTGGGATAAAAGATGCTTCTTAATTAATAGAGCGACGGTTCGAAACCCCGTGGCGGCATGTACATGTGACTTTTTTTACCTTTGCGAATATTTAGTAGGAATACCTCTCGGAAGGAAAACAGTGTGTGGAGGTTCGTGCCCAGTAGTGGGAAGTATAATGTGGTAATGATCATAGCAACTCAACTATATGTACTAAAGAGCTTGATAAGGGTGTGGTTCTGTTGGTAAACAATAACAGTATACAAACTATTGCATAAATGAAATTGTAGGTATTATAAGTTGTTTGGTGGGATATACTACGCCGTAGCAAGGCGTGGCCGCGTAGCAGTGTCATTTGTCGATCGATATATTTGTACTAGTTTCATCTATATTTAATTCAGCCTTTTGTTTAATACCACAGATGACAAATAAAATATTGATATATCATAGTTCAGTCGAGTTACAGAGACTTAAATATCTCAAACAAGTTCAGAACTTCGTTAACTCCTTTTTTTCGTAAACATCTGATTTTATTTGTGTATTTAACATCTGAAGTTACCTCACTGGGTTTATGGTGTTATGTTAAGAATGTATCTATTTGTTTTACTACGGTATGTCCCGGACAAAAAAGTCATAATTATAAAAAAAAGTTATAAATTATAAAGTCATAAGTCGTAAACACAATTATCTGTGTAAAACTAGGGAATTTCCTGCACTATGAATACCAGAGTTATGCAGTCGGGGCATAATCCAGAATACCCAGGCCAGAAACAATTTACAATTGGTCCTATCGGGAATCGACCTCGGGATCTCCTCAGCGCTCACTGTGCAGACCGTCAGAGGTCGTCAATGCCTAATAATAAAAAAAACTGTTTGTAAACATTATTATATTATATAAAAATAGTGTCGAGGAAGAACAATGCCATGGAATGTGTATAATTAAATATATACATATATAATGTTCCTTGTTCCTGCATACACAATATATTGTGTGCCACGACTCGAAAACTCACGACGCAGTGGGGCCAAATTGATAATTCTTGGACATAGGAATAACTTGTGACGTATAGAGCTGATTTGTTTTTTATGTAATAGATAATAACATTCCTAACAACTTTTATTCTTGTATAATTAATTTCTTGAAAAGTTGATAGTTTCGGAGAAAAAAAAATAGTAATTATTTTTTTGTATGGAGAAATACACATTCTATTTTTTATCTCAAAATATACGTAAATGTAATGTGCGTGGGTTACTTACAGTATAGTTCCAATCATTTTCTATGTAAAAAAAATTATTCTGTCTACATGTACTAGCGGCTTTGTAAGTAAAGGTGCGGCAAAATTGCCAATTTTTTTATGTACTTTTTTAAAGAAATACATGAGCTTCGACTAAAGAAAAAATAATTTTAGCGTAATTTAGAGAGTGTTATAACAATAACATGAAAGTTCAGTAGAAACTAGTATATTTTGTTATAAAATAAATAACAAATCTAAAAATTTGCCACCTTTTTTTTACTCGTAAAACCGCAAGTACCTGCAGATGGATTATTTCTTTCTTGATAGAGAGTGACTGGATCTATACTGTAAATAAACCACACACATTAAATTTTTCTACATTTCGAGATAAAAAATAAAATATTTATTTCTCTAAACAAAAAAAACAAATTTTTTTCTCTGAAACAATCAGCTTTTCAAGAAATTACATAAGAATACAAGTTGTTAAGTTGTTAGGATTGTATTATCTATCAAATAAAAAAAAATTGTTCGATACTCCACAAATTATTCCTATGTCCAAGATTTATCAATTTGGACCCACTGTGCGACGTCGCGGTGCTAGTATGTATTGAACCGGCACCGCCTCCAGCTAAATATAGCTGGACATTACTCAATACACTATTGTTTATTGCATTCAATGATTATACAAATTCCCGCTGCTACCGTATCGTATTAAGTTCGTACGTTACATAACTGACTTGTAGCTTGCGTTCCGCAACGATGTACATTCAGCTTTATTGTATAATGTTTTTATGACTGATATTATAAGAGTTTATTACGTACAACAATTATTTAAAATGTGTCTATTGTCATTACGAAAGCATAGTATCACTGTGATATGGATCTATCTACACTTCTATTCGTATAAATATAATACTGTCCTCTCTATCATAAGTAACGTAATCGACATTTTAGCGAATTTGAGTTATTAACAAATCTGGAATCGGCGCCACGAGATCTACAATCCCCTATAAGCAATTTTTTCATATCTTATTTAGTTTTACTTTTATTGTTAAGCAAAATCAGCGTAATTGACATTTAAAAAAAAAAGCTTTAGGTGTAAATATCTTTTTATTTTATTTAGTAGCAGTAGAGCTCCTTGTGAAAGAGTTCGTCCAGAGTAGTACTGCTACCTTACCTATTTCGGCCGCCAAGCAGTAATGTCAGCGTTACTGTGTTCCGGTTTTGAGGGGTAAGGGTGCTGGTGAAATTACAGGCACATGGGGCTTGTCAACTTATGTTTCAGGGTGACGGGCGCAGTAGCAGTGCCCCTCAGATTTTTGCGATTTAAAGCTCTGAGTGGCACTGCAACTGTTATGGACAGGCGTGTAGCTTACCATCAGACGCACGACTTGTTCGTCCCGCCTCTTGATATTATAAAAAATTCTCAAAAGCAGGGCGGTAAAGCATAGCTAATGTGCGCATGATCTTTTTGAATTTTCCCGCCCTTTGGCCATCCATTATTGGTGCGAGCGAAGCGCACGTAAGTGCCTTTAACGTCAATGCTTTTGACGGTCTATCATGGTTCTAAGGTTCTAAGTCAGGATATGCAGCAACAACCGTTACACCGACTATTCATAATTTGTAAAGTTTAATTGCAAACAAAAACTGGTAAAAGTTGAATCTCGTTTACTTATTTTTTTTAATCCGTGGGCTCTTTGAAATTTTGAGATGGGTCCATGACTAGAAAAACGCTTTAAAGTTACCAAAACCCAAAAGCGTTATGATTATGACAGAGAGCTGGATAATATCTGTATATATGAACTTTTGCCTTAGAAATAGTAACAAGCGAATCTAGATTTATAAATGTGGTCACAAAATAAAACACGATAAAAGAAAAGCGTAATAAATTTAGGCTGCTGTCTCCTAAACAGTTTGTGTCTTAAGAGGCAGTGTTCAGTTAGGCGGGACAAAATATGTGTCTGTATGTAAAATAAAACAAAATATATAGTAAAAGGAAATTAGTCTGTAAAGTCGTCTTGTTACACATTTAGTAATGACTATGTGAGCTTAGTAAAGTAAGAGAAAAACATAGGTTTACATCTGAAGGCACTTAGGCAATTTTAAATTTGTAGTATTGTAGTAGCATCAACATCAATATGGAAAGAACTTTCTAGATATCGAGTATTGGAAATGAAACTATTTTTTCGGATCTAAATCGAGTGTATTTGCGTGTGTGGGTGCGTACGCGCATGTGTACGCGAGTGTGTATACAAATATTATGAAAAGTTGAATGAATGAATGAAATACTCTTTTATTGCACATTAAAAATTACAATGATAACAATATAATAATGTATGTATCTGATGTACAACAGGCGGCCTTGTTGCGAAGTTAATATGCAATTTCTTCCAGGCAAACGTACAATAGAAATTTAAGAGCTAGAAAGGTATACGAAAATTTGTATCATTAAAGATCGTAGACTGAAAGGCTTACCTACTACTTTTGATGGATAAAATATACTGCATTTCGAGTTAACTTTGTAAACACCCTGTATCTAGCTAGCTAGATGTCTAGACATCTTCCAAGTACCCGCTTGTTAGCAGTAAATACCGCAACCTCGTCCGAAGGTTTGCTCTAGCGTGCTTGTTGTATGGTTGGATGGATACAGTTATACAGGCGTAACAAACTGGTGTGTACATATTGATTGGTGATCGTATTAAATTCAATAAGTATGTATTT